ATTTATAGGCATCTTAGGCTTTCTCTAGAATGTTTCAGAGCATACAAGAAAAGGACTATGGAGAAGCTTCTCATGGAAGCTTTCCTTATCCTACAAGAAGGCTCTAGAATCCACCCTAAAAATATCTATACAAATATCTACCTCATTCTAGAAGTAAGTACAAGGATCTTTTATCACCTCTATTTCTCTAGGAGGTTCTAGAAGTTTCTGTTACTTCCATCCCTCTAATATTCACTTGAATACTCTAGAACCTTTTCTTAGATCTTTCCGTGTACATTATAGAATTATGTACCATATTCCCATATTTTCTCAAGTCTTCCAGGAGCTTCCAGAATATTCCATTAGCCTCTCTTTCTTGAGACTTCCTCTTGGTAGGCAATTCTATCTAGGTAATTTGGCGGGACGTGACAAGCTGCTTTGTAAGTACTAAACTATTTTTTAGATTTTGATTTCTTCATGTAAAATAAACAAGTATATTACCTCTGCTTTTGCAATTTTCTGGGCTTTGTCTAATGTTGTTTGGGAGAGAGTTAACTTTTGTTCTGTGCATTCCAATTAAGTATCTTCCATAGTTTCTTTATTAAAGGTTCTAATTGCTCAGGTAGTAGATAGCTCGCTCCACTTTGTCCTCAAACTCTTGTGCAAGCATGCAGCCCATTGTAGTTTTAGTCACTGAAAGGTACAAAATCAACGGTTTCCCCGGCTCAGGTGGTGACAACACCGGTGGGTTCTGTAAGTATTGCTTGATCTGTTCAAAAGTAGCTTGGCATCGGCCGTCCCATTGGAACTTCGTTCCTTTCTTCAGGAGACCAAAAAGTGATTCACAAGTCAAGATTAATTTTGCGATAAACCATCTTATGAATTGCACTTTACCCAGAAAGCCTCGCACCTCCTTTTCAGTCCTTGGTGGTGGCATTTCCAAGATGGCGTTGATTTTGGAAGGGTCGACTTTGATACCTCTCTGTGTAATCAAGAATCCCAGCATTTTCCCTACTTGTTTCAACATATTTAAACTTTGATAACATTAGTGAAAATTAAGTGCAGAAATTTTCTAGAGCTTCCAGCAATAAGTAATAGAGGAGGTGGCAAGGAACAAGCTGTCCAAGCTCTCTATGAGCCTCCCAAAGACCTCACTAATCAAACTTCAATCCTCTCTGCCGCAGCAGCAGTGAAAGACATTGGTATGTCAGCAAGAGCAGAGTCTTCTGTTTTTATGCAAAAGCAGAAAATTGTGAATACATGTCTCTTGGGCAGGAACAATAAGCTTGTAATCTTCTCTTTGTAATAATTGTATTTTCTAAGAACCCTTCAGACAATTGATAATGCAATACAACCATACAGTGTCTCCTATCCTATTTTATTTTATTTTATTTTATTTTATTTTTCTACTCTCTCCAAACTCAAGTTGGTTAGTTCCTATCCTCCTTGAGTTTGAAGGGGGCTGTTAGAATATAATATGTAAAGTGTATCCTTTCCCCTTTCGGTGACCACTTTCCCTTTAGGCCATGATGTTGTTTTGTATAGTGTGTATACCACTTAGGCCATTTTCTCCTATATAAAGGAGACCGTGTATAACATTCAATATATCAATAACATTAATCAATAATATACATCAATTTATTTTACACCTTTCACACTTCATTGCCCCAACATGCACATTGACAGCGATTGGTATATTCAGCTTCATTGAGGTGATAGGATCATATATGTTTATAGGATCCCAAGAATGCTACATCTATTGACTTTTAATTGAAGTTCATTCTCCCACTTCTCAGTTGCAGCCAACTATCTCTCAGGATGAGAAACTCAGATGAAAAAGTTATTCTTAAAATGAATAAGCTATATGCTAGCCCATCTCACAAAAAAATTAAAAATAAAAATCTAAAAGTCACAACTTTTGTAAAAGCCTAAGCCGAGTGAATAATAAAGCCAAAAAATAAAGAACAAAAGCATTTGTATCACAAAGAAGAAAAAGCTCGACAAGTCACCAACTTCTGCCCACTCTATTTTTTTGCCCAAACTGCTCTCTCTCTCTCTCTCTCTCTCTCAACGTTTTTTCACTTTTCCAAAACTATCCCTCTTTGCGATGTTAAATTGTAAATCAATGGGACAGCCATAAGAATTGTGTATTGATCTTCACGGCAAAAAAGAAATCCATTTGGAACATTTACATATGGATTTGCATTTTTATAAAGGTAAATCAATTTAGGATTGTTATATCTATAATCAAGTGAAGAATGAGAATGAAGTAACACTTCATAGTTATTGTTTTATTATTATTTCAATTTATAGCTAAGAGTTCACGTAAAAGTGAATTATTTACTTTGAACCCATTCCTTTATAGCAGCATGACTTACTTCCATGTAATTTGTAACAGTGGTGCTTTGGTGACACTTTGTTTGGTATATCTATCAAACCTTTTCTACATGTCCACCTCCAACGACTAGCTTTGTCAAATGCAGCAGTAGCCATGCGATCATTTCGATCTATGGCTTGAATAATTTTTGGGAACTGATCTCTCACAATTGGAATGTACATTTCCTTACACTTAGTTAAGGCCGCTTGTACCTTTTGATGCAACTTTGGATTGGACTTAATGAACTCAGTTGTGGAGTTTAAGAAAACGAATCCTTGTTCTTTTGCAGCTACAGTAGCAATGAGGCTTAGCCCTCGTAAATCTGCATTTTTGCTTTGAGGGTCTGACCTTAAAGTTGAGAGACAAAGGTCAATATGGGGAAATGCCATGGAACATGTTCTTGTTATTAAATCAACCTGAGCCAAAGTTTGAAACATGGTCAAACAAAGATGAATGAAAGAAACGATAAAATCTTCATGATTAGAGGGCAAATGAGGGAGGAGAAGATGGTGTGATCAATCACACAAAGGAGTTGGCTCTTTTTATATACAGGTTTACTTTTGTCTCAATCTACAAGTACTGTTGACCTTTCATTTACTCTGTTTCTATCTTGAAATTAATTTGCAAATATTGTTTTGTGAAAAGCAAATCCATTTAGATACTATTTGCCACAAGAAAGGGATATAATAAATAATAGCACAAGTGTGTGTGTGTGTGTTTTTCTTTTTAAACACGGAATGTGACACAAATGTCTCATTGTGGAACTAACTTTTTGTGAGACATCAGTGTTTGATCTCTGTGTTCCTAACATTATTGTATATATACACATGCTACTGCACATCTCGTATTACATACTAGTTTGAGCTGTGCTGCCTTCCTAAGATCCGCCATGACCAACAAGGAAAAGATTTTCAAGATGTTGGCATTGGCAGTTGTGTTGTGTTACCCTTCATAGAATTTGTTGTACTCCTTCCCAATCTTGCTCTTCTAATCTCAAGGAAGAAGAAGAAGTTTATGGCCCATACAAATTCAGTTATACGGATCTATCCATTGCTACAAAGGGTTCTAAAATGGTTAGTCTTCTTGGGACTTTGCTTCTTTTCTCTCTCTCCAACTACTCTAATATGTTCAATTGTTCTTTCGCACAATTCAATGGAATCAAGGAACACCAAATACTTAAAGAGTTAGAAATACATATTATTTTTCATGTAACATGTCAAGTGTCTGTTAAAATTCCAAAGTGTGGATGGTATAGACACAAGAACATTATAGTGTAACATGCCAAGTATTTGACAAAATTCTCAAATCAAATAGAAATAGACTATTTAACTTCTTTAACAAACATTGCACCCCGCCGCCCGAAGTAAAAAAATACACCCGCATGTATATATATATTGATGCCACTTTATCTGTGTCCTAAATTTATATTCATATAAATAGCAAACAAAAGTATATTGAAAAATTTGCCATTTTCCCTCCGTGTTCTTGTCTTATTTTTTTTAAAATCATTTTGTCCCATGTCCATGTTCGTGCTTCTTAAATAGGCATTCAATCTCCAATAGTCTGCACACAAGACATACCAATTCCTTCAGCACTATGTAAATAAGATGCTAAACCAACTAAACCACTACCATCTAGATAGCACTGACAAAGATGCCAAGTACACCAAGGAGAGGAAATTAGATGCGAAAAGATATGTGTAGGAGGCGTAATTTCTACTACAAATATATATTCAAGAAAGTTAAGAAAAAAATTCAGAATTAGCTTACTTGAGATAAAATCATCTGCATAATCCTTAATATCAATTTTCCCATGGGCCATTGCACCAACCTGTACATTCATGGGGCCAAGAATGTAGTACCAATCAAGTGCATACAAAATTTTAAAGCATAAGTAGCTTTAGACATACCACAAAAACAAAATTCACATCATCGCTAACAGCAGCCACATAGTCTCTTATATCAACCAATTTTTCTGAAATATAGGAGAAGCCTGATATGCAAGAAAGCAATTTTATCATTTCTGCGTGATGCCAATTCATCAGATAAGAACACTTAAAAAGGATAGCTTACCAATTTTACGAGAGTTGAGCGGTAAATATTGTGTCACCAGGTTCTTGATCACACGCAATAGTTTTTCACTCTCACCAACAGCAGTTATACTCAATTTTTGTAGCAGCAGCGCTGAAATGATTATTAAGAGACTTAGAAAGTAGGAGAAAGACAAAGGAATTCCTACAAGGCAAAACAATGGAAAGAAATGATAGTATATATAGCAAAATAAGTGTTTGGGTAACTTACACATGATACCAGAAAAGCGCTTATATGTCCTTGGAATACGGACATATGGTTTAATTTCAAATAGAACACCGTTCTCCGTTTTCACATACAATGCTCTTAATCTCCCAGCTTTATTTAGGGGGCTATCTAAAATTGCTAGGATAGCTGGAAAGCATAACTTTATGATCAGTGTGGTTGGAAAAACAAGTTAATACAATTTAACATAAGCCTCACAAATACCAACTAGAGAAGTAGCCAACTGGCTGCTAAAAATATTGTAATGAAACAAAGTTTTTTGGACAATGCAACTATGTAGAATAAAATGTAAGCCGATCAAAATGGCCAACGAACTCCACACCGCTGCACTATTTTGAGGCTGAAACCAACAAGTTCTCCTGAACTGAAGCATCCTTGTTCACTACCAATTGCCAAATCAAATAGATCAGGAAAAACAATCCTCCAAATGCTGACCATACCACAGTCAAGCCAAAGCTTCACTCTATTCCCATTACCCAATTTAAAAACAATTCTCTTAGTAAATTCATCTCACCTTCATAATGCTCTTCCACAAACCCACCCCATACGGCCCATGACTGTCCCCAATCCCCTCACAAAACAACAAAGAGGACAGGAATATGGTATAAACACTCAAAATACCTTGGTTTTAAGGCTTCACAGATTACATAGTTGGAATGTAATTAGACAGTTCTAAATGTGGAGTAGTTCTCCTTCCACTATGGCCCTCTTTTATTTATCTCCTGCAAAAATCCTCTATTTCATAGTTTTTTTTATATTTTTATTTTTTTTTATTTTATCCTTTTCGAATGTTTCATCTTATAATAGGATAATTACACCAAAGAATAAGAACCAGCTTTTTCTAATCATTATACTCGGTGTTCTAGAATGAAGGTGATACAATGTTTTCTGAATGTGGGTGTTCTCAAATGAAAATGTACAATGTTTTGGGAACATAAATTGTTGGGATGCTGGTGTATCCTGATAACCATGATTTAGACTTATACATACCAATGTCGACCATATGTAAACAGCAAAAAAGTTAAAACAACTGAACTTTTCAACAAAAAGGATATGGACCGTAACACCAAAGTTCAGTACCTGATGAGCAATATCTGGCCGGTAATCAGCAGGATTTTTGTTGTTACTTCTCAGAAATTTGTCATGATCTGAGCTCAAAAGCTGGTAAAACTGTATGGATATAAAAAAGCTATTAGGCAAAATTACATGCATCATGTGTGTGCACACAGATGAAGAGATACTTTAAACCCAATGATGGAAGATCCTTAAGAAACCCAACGAAACACAAAACTAGAACAAAAAATTTGAAACATTCCCCAATGATGGAACATCCTTATGAAATCCCAACTAAAATGCTGGAGCCTAAATCCTTAACCCTCAAGAAACACAACTACAATAAAAGTTTGAAAGCACCAAAATCCTAAACCCAAGAAAAATAAGTTTAAGAAAGAATATAGAAATCGAAAAAGACAGAGATAATAAAATTTATACAGACCTTTCCGAGTTTTGCAACTTCCAAAGAAGCCTTCTCAAGAATGAAAATAGCCCCAGTCTGGGCCTTGTGATCATACGGTTCAATTGGAATACCGGCAAGTTCGTCTACATTTTCTGTTTCTTTCTCTTCATCTGGTGCATTTTCTATCTCCTCTTTACCCATTACCCCATCTATTTCCTCTTCCATAAACTGTTCTATGTCTTCTGTATCATATTTCTCTTCTCTACGCTTCCGTTTACGCAGTTCTGTCCTTGCCATTTTGTGGTTCAAGCTTTGAACTTTTTTTAGAAGAAAACAAGATCAGCATTGATACAATATTTTTTTATTATTCATAAAAATTAAGAAGCAAAGAACCAAAAGGACTGAGAGACTAAGCTTAAAGAAAGTAGGTATAAATTTTCTTGTAAGTAGAATCTTTTATAATTTGCATGTTTATGGGGAGAATTAATGTGTTTCTTTCTAATTTTTTTCCCTCAAATTCTCAACAACCAAACAACAATACAAACAAATTTTCAGCAAAATATATAAACAGAAACAGAATAGAGGCCACATAGATGAAAGACTCAAACTTTGAAATAGTATCTGAAACTGTTCTCACCTTCTGTCCTCACGCCGTTAGAAGAAGCGGAGGAGGAGGAGGAGAGGAGACAACGGCGGTAGTGAGAGAAGAGCACGAAGAGGGGGAAATTCTATTTCCATACACCAAATTTCCTTACTCCAGACACTTAATGAGTTTTTTCAGAATCACAATTTTATTCTTTAACAAAATTATTATCTCACCCACCACCATCTCACCCACACATCTCACAATTTCTCCATACACATCTCACCCACCACCATCTCACGTAGCCACATTCACATGATCGGCCCATCGCCTCCCATGCCCAAAGCTCAACACCATACATAGCATTTCCTTTCACTTTCCCCACTCCCTTCAGTCCCTAACCTTCCATTTCGTAAGCTATAGTGACTGCAGTATTTAAATTCTTCTTAACCAGAAAGCATTATCATATTGGTTAACTTCCTGCTAGTCTTTATGCTTCCAGGAACTCTGCCATCTTGTCAGACAAAACAAAGCAACCAAACAAAGGGACCAAAACAAAAATTAAACTCAATCAGTGTGTGATTTATTTTATTACTTATTAATTTACAATTCTTCCCAATTTAATTCTATTCAGTTCGACGGCATTGTAAAGTAGTATTTAATCATGATGTTTGTGGGGACATAATATTTTGAATGACAACACGTGCGGCGCAGGTGTCACCGAGAAGTGCCAGTCGAGGTGCCATGTGTCCTATTCATGACGCGAGATGATCTCGGCTAGGCTGAGGTTATCTACGAGATACCCGAATCCGGGATAGCGGATAAGGATAAAAGTCTAGAATGGGAGAGGACTTTAGTTTGATAAAGATAAGATTCTTATGAGAGTTTATCCATCCAACTACGGGAGTCCAAGATTAACAGTAGTTCCTAAGTCCATTGAAGCTAGGCTTCTATTGGGATTAGGTGAGTGTTGGCTATAAAAGAGAGGCACCCCCATCGGGTCTAAGGTATGCTTTTTATGCTTCTGAATAGTGAGTTAAGTCCTTTTGCTTTTGAGAGAATTACTTGATCGTCAGGATGCCACCGAGTGGACGAGCCACTGCCGAAATCTCTTCTTTTTGTGATTAGGTTCGTCAGGCGTTAATCTGATTCTGCAGGTTTCTGTTCTCGCTGCCAGAGTACTTTAGTTGTATGTGGTCGGAAATTGACACACACAATTTGGCGCCGTCTGGGGAAAGAAAGGAGAATAGATGGCCAACGACGGACAGAAAAGATAAGGTTGGGACGACACTCCTATTGGGAGTGGGAAACCTGTTGACCTTGATATTGAAAAAACAACTGCAACCGAAAGAGACTCGTGATGGGGTCACGGAGGAAGGACGTCGGCCAGGAGGGCTACATGCCAAGAACGGACCGAGCAGGTATTACAGTGAGGACGCACTCTCAGTATAGAAAGAAAATGCCTGCGGAGGGACGATGAGGTGAAGGCCATACAGCGAACAAATAGCAGACCTACAAACGGTGGTCAATTTCATGATGTAGAAACAACGTCATGCAGCCACCATTTCCGTGGCAAGATACACCTATTCCAGGCCAGAAAGATGGCCGAAAGATGGCAGAAAACAGTCCTTACACTCCCCCAGCACACCAGGACCGAAAAGCACTCTCACCGGCCTTCAAGAGAGGTCGGGCGAGAGAGAATCAAGAAGGGAAGAATATTAGGAGGACGCATCGCACCAAGGAAGCTGACCCCAAAGAACAATCAGCATGTTCAAGGGCAGGAGTTAATACTTCGACGCAACTAATGGAGAAAGGTCGAAGAAGGCTCACAACGAAGCGAGAGTAGTGCACCAAAAAGGCTGAAGTCAGGAGATAGCCGAACTCCCGGACGAACCAGGAGGATCTAAGGGATTACCTACAGAGGGAAATAACAAGATGCTGAGGTAAACCTCCGATCAAGCCGAGAACGCCGGTTCTCGGTAGAATTGGACAAATTCGAAGCCCCGAAGAGGTTTTAGCATGCGAGGTTCCAGATCTCACGGGTAAGTCGGACCCCAACTTTCACGTCGGTTTGTACCTGAACTCGATGGCATTGTACACTGGAACGAGCTGCTACTTTTGCAAGATGTTCCCCTCATCCTTTGGGAAAATTGCATCGGACTAGTTTCACAAGTTGCGCAAAGGAACTGTGAAAACCTGGAAAGTCTGGCCGAGATGTTTGTGGCCAGGTTCGTGACAAACAACTACAGCCACTGAGGGTAGACGCCCTGATGGCTGTTGAAAATTGGCGAGGACGAAAGCCTGAGGGCCTATGCCAAAAGATATTATGAGGATTCAACGCGAATACTAGAATGCAACCAAGAGGTGGCCGTCATTTCTTTTAAGAACGGCCTGAAAGATGACTGTCTGTTCCGAAAATCACTGGCAAAGAACTTGCCAAAAAGCATGGAGAAGCTTATGGCCAGGATAGAAAGTAGCCAGGCTGAGGAGGACACACGGGGACAAAGGCGTCGAAACCAGAGAAGAAAAACGCTCGTCGACGAGCGAGTAGTGTAGTGGATGCAACAAACCAGAGACAGGATTAAGGCTACAAGCAACATCACAAACCGTATTCAGAATCCCGGTTTACAAAGTCTTGGAGAAATCCGAAACCAGCCCTATTACAGAGCACCAGCAAGGGTACCGGGAGAATTTATAGGAAAGAGACCTTGGTAAACGTTATACTTACACAATGAAGCTGAGATCTAATTCGAGAGATGCAGAGCCCTGAAGACACATCTAGAAGACCTGGTAAAGACAGGAGCCATTTAAGGGACCTGGTAGACGAGGCTAGGACAAGGGAAGAACAGGGAAAACTACCCCAGGCACCAACAGACCACCCCCACCAGCACCACAACCGATGCAAGCGGACCTCAAGTAATCAATGTGATTCACTCGAGGTGAATGAGAATGAGATAGAGGGGGAATCCGATAGGTAAAACACCTACAACAATGTGTATACAGGCAGGAAGAAGAGACCTAAGGCAGAAGAGAGGCCAGGGACTAGTTGGTTCCTTTACTGAGGGAGACACTCGGAGATGGAGCGTATCCACACAACAATGCACTTAGGTAGTACCTCTCCAGGTTAGGGAGGCCATGATGAAGCGCATCTTAATTGACCAAGGCAGCTCTTGTGACATTATATATGTTAAGTATCTAAAAGAGCTTGGCCTTCACCAAGATAACATGGAGCAGTCAATGGCCCAATAGTTGGGTTCAATGGAAGCCGACGTGGCCCTTGGGGGAAACGAGCTTGGAGGTGGAGGCTAGCACCAAGAAGATAAAAACAGAGTTTTACACTAATCGACATCCCCTCCCTTACAATGCACTATCCTAGAAAGGCCATGGCTACATTTGCAATGGGGTTGTTCCCTCACATTGCATCAGCGTATTGCGGATGTCCCAACAGGACTATAGAATAAGAAGAGGTCAGGAAGGGATCAACTGCAGGCCAAGATTGCTCCATGGAAACAATGAAATCCACTTGCAACATTACGAGAACCAGAAACAGCAAAGATCAAGGACGGGACGTGGAAGTCTAGTAGGAGAGTGAGTCGGCAAAAGCCAACTGAGATAGTGAAGGAAGCCCTGAAGAAAATCTTGTCCATGAAGGGGATGAAGAATGCTTCTTCCTTCTCGGCTGGCGGGCTTAGCCGAGGAGAAGAAAGAGGAACTGGAAGCATTCCTGAGAGCAAATCTCGGGAGGTATTTTGCTTAACTTTTACGGCCATGGCACGCCCCTGCCCCGGAGAATGCCCTGGGAACATTAACCACCCCAAGGTCAGTTCGTCTCACGCTTATGTTTATGAAATTAGGTTAGCTCAAACCTGTTATTCCATTACACCCAAGCCGTAGCTTAGCTTTTCCACCGGAGAGCAGACCAGTTTAAATGCATGTTGACTCCGGTAGTGAAGAGGCCTTCTCAGTCTAGCAATAAGACCTTCCTGGTGAGGCCTAGCAGTCCTTAGAGAGGTACAATTACCCGACGATGGCTATCAAAACAGTCGCCTGTGGGCTGAAGGAAGTAACAGAACGGTCAAGTAAGAGGGTCCTGCATGCGGACTTTCATCCAGGCCTAAAACAAGGTTTTGTCCCAAAGACATTTTCCCATTACGAAGAATGTTGGACCACATTGGTGTGAGTTGTCCCACTTCAGGGCACGAGAAGGTATTAGCTTCCTGGGGATTGCTTACAGGGGCTATACTTCTCCGGTACCATCAGATACCCACTGCACCTCCCAAGGTGAGTAAAAGCTACATTATCACCCCAAAAAAGGTGGGATGTATTTGTACGTGAGTGATGCCTTTATTGTTGTAAAAGCCATGATGGAGTCAAAACCTGAACTAGCAGACTATGCGTGGATGTAAGATTAGTTTACAGACAATCCTGATTGGCTAAAAACAGTGGGCAGATCTCATAGACATGACGATGGTCGTGAAAGACCAAGACGTGAGTGGTCCATCTGAAAAGACCCATAAAGTGCATGTCTTTGAACATCACTTAGGAACATATTCGGCTCCGGACTCAAGCTGTCAATCGGAAAGTGCTGGCATTTGAGTGGTGAGGGCTCTGGTAGGGGTTCTCTGGAATTATTAGGGTATCCAGAAAGGGGCATGAGGGCGAAGCTCAGGATCAGATCTCAAGCGCCAATTTCAGAGTTGGATACGAGCCCGAC